TGAAAAATAATAAAATTATATATCACACCATAATCGTAACGATAGCCCAGTTGGCATTTTCGAATTCTTACCCTGTTAATTTCTCGAGTAAATTTTACTATAGTAAATTATTATTATTGCTCTTTAATTGGAAAGATAAGGGTGTGCTTCCTGATCGTTTTAACTGATTGCTAATCGTGACGTATATCACGAGGCTGTGCGAGTTTACGAGTGGAAGCGTAAATGAGAAAAAGACAGGCCTTAATTTTCACGAAAGAGAAAAGGATGATTGAGTTTCGTAAGACTTTCCGGTGTCAAAACTTCTTCGATTAATGAGATATGCTAACGAGCAATTAATTACTACTTTATAATCAATGACATTCACGGCCGATTGCTTAAATCTTTCAGCTCTTATCCTCGTCACCCTTCGGCAACCAAGTGTTTTTAATATCGACAAACAGCGTTTTCAAAGGTTTACCCCAATTTTAAGTCCTACGATGAATATTCAGCAAGCAAATTTAAAAGCAAATTATAGTAACTTCGAAGTACGTAGGTGCACCAAAGATTCTGGTATTAACTGTTACGTATCCTAATTTCATTAAAACAAGTATAAGAGTTGATTCGGGTAAAGAGTCTCGGAGATCCGTGTCCTGTGCAGCGGGTTTCCTGCACTTGGCATGAGACTCGACCGAGTCTCTTGATACATGTATATATGAAATAATATGATTTAAACTTCCAAGTTTTCCGGTAATTTATTCCCCTGAAAATCTCAACCGTCTAACAATAAGTTAAGCTCTCGGCCAAGAAATAGCAATTGATTAAAAACACCTAAGAAATTTAATATCCCTTTATTATAAATTCATTTCTTATAATTCCATGTCATCGGTATAAAACGAGCATTCAGTTGTTTTCATTAATTACAATATATGCATCCGAAACATTATACATTATACTGTACACAGTAAGGGTGGCAAAATTAGGTATAGTTACGTCTTACTATCATGTACAACATTCGCGTAAGGATCCCTCCCCCCGATTCGGTCTTTTTGATCCACGCAATCATCCCCGTCGCGTTTGGGAATTATCTTTGTCAAATGCCCACTCGCTTACTATCGGTTCAACGAATTTTCGAGAATTTCCGCCTAAATTCATCTTAGCAGCGACGGGGCAGACGGGCGAGTATTTAAAGATGTGAAACGGTGAGCAGAATGTATGTACGGCGAGGGTGGCAAGGGATTGAAAAAGAAGCGTACCGGAGCGTTAAGGGATGATGGTAAAGAAGAATAAAGAAGGAGAAGAAAAATGACGGAAAAAAAAAGTTAAACGAGAGCCAATAGCACCAAGAGAGGGAGAGAGAGAGACCAGGAAGTGAAAAGGGGGGGAGGGTGGTTGTGTAGGGTGGGTCGCCCATCCTGATTTATATTACGGGCCAATTTCCTCGATGGTTTTTCCTTTTTCCGACATCCTTACCTAACCTCCCCCCGTACCGATCTGCACACTTTACCAAGCCGCACTGAGTGCTGTTCTAACCCTACGTTATATATAGATATACTCCGAAGGTACATACACGAAATTCACCCTTATCTACACTTCCTCTCCCCATTCACTGTACGCGATGCACTGTCGCACATCGCGCGTTTATCGTCTATGGCAAAAATTTCACTCACCTAAACCACTTGCTTATACACTTTATCCTTTGAATACATGCGCTGGAGATATTCACTTAATGTATGTGTAGTATATGTATATAAAATATACTTTAGAGTTTTAAAGCCTTGCGAGATTATCACCGCGATCAAATTTGCATCTTGTTTCCGACGCCAGGGAAAGCCGGAAATCATTTTTCCGGCTCTCTACTTCATATCGCGCACACAGAAACTTCGTACGTATAATCATTTTCTCAATGTGCGAGTGTTTGAGAATGTACTAGAATAAATCAAGTATTTCTATGTTCTTATTATAGTGTATACAGTGTTATTTTGGATAATTTTATTTTTCGTCTCACGGAATGTGCGGCACCCTTTCGGGCCTAGTTTATTATTCCAACTTGATTGAGTGGAATAAGTCGAACCTGGAACAATATTAGGATTATGCGAAACATACCGTAGACGTTACTACTACAGTGTACAGCTTTGCCGAATACGGAATTTACATCTGACGTGCTCAGATTTTGGAAAGTTCTTGTTATTTCAGTAGCTCTTGTATTCTGCTTTAATCTAGCTATATACACATGCATAAGATCAGTACTGGGATTCAAAGCGCTAGATATTACTATTTATACTGAAAGATAAGTATAGAGAAGGTATATGGATGGGTTTGACATTTTTTTATTCCACCCGTAGCGAAAGTTACCTACATGGTTCCTACGTCCCTGGTGTGAATGATGGAAACCATTGTCACCGTGCATTACTTTCTGTTCTGTTTGATAAACTTTTGATTTTTTTAACCAAGTCCCAAAAAATTCCTAAAAACATATTTATCTAGTCCCATAAGCCTTATTGAGAATACTTTTATAAATCTAGGGACATTGCAGCCACATGCTCTTACACTCTCTAGCCAAATAGGGTAACAAGCTCAGGTCCTGACAAACATGGCTGATTGCGTGTACCTAACCTCGGTTACGGAAATAACCAACCAGTGCCAACATTCGAACGCCGTTGTCTGTGTTTACGTGCCGCGTACAATCGTACACGTGTACATACAAATAATGTACAGATATATCGTATTGCGTCTCGAGAAAATAAAGCATCGTTCTCCATTCCCGAAGATTCGAACGGCTTCGAAACGAAAAGTTCGTGAAACTTCATACGTCCCGATGATAAAGCATTTTTCGTACGGAAGAACGAAATTATTGGATATAAGAAAACTTGTGAGTAGCATTAGTGGAAAAAAACTGACTGTCATGCCGGATAGTCATTTGACCATGTACAGTCGTACCGAACGTGTAAGTACTATATGTGAATATTATATAGTTAAGATATCGTGTTTTCGAAGAGCTCCGTTAGTTACCGATGGCGCCACTGTCGTTGAATTCATCGATACTCGTAACTCATCGAGCACCGAAGGTCCGTAATTAGTCGTTAGACTAGTGCGATTCAGGCTGTCAGGTACGTAGCTAGTAAGGTCAGGTCAGAGATACTCGACTTGGATTAGGTTAGTATTCTAATAGGCTGCAGCGGGCGAGAAACCAAACACATTATTCATCACGAGAATTGGATTAGTTTAGCGAAATTACCCCGGAGATTCCGCGAAAGATAGGTACGCCATTGCGCTAGGTCAGCCTCGGCGAACGATAAACTGCGACGCAAAATACATACGAAGTTAATCTTACTTAGCTGTTGCGAGGAGCCTTGCGGAATTTCAAATGCGAGTCCCTACCCGTTATAACTCTAAGAAGAGAGCGTAAGCGCGGTATGCCCGTATATTAGTTTGAACAATGGTTCGGCACTATTCTGCAAATAAAGCTTCGTCCGGGCTGGAACATTGTACCGTAATTAAAGGAGGTTAAAAATAATGCACATACCGGAGGATCGTTCGATGATAATATATTGACAAGGGTTCCAACGTTATTAAATGTCCCACTGAATGGCATATGTCGTCTGCCATTAGGTGACATATATGAAAAGAAAGATATAGGTATATAAAAATATATCATATGGTATTTGAATGGAGGAAACGTCACGACGTGACTGGGAATCAGAGGAGTGGTCCAGGAGTGGCCGGACTGGTTAGGATTGAGTCGGTTTGGGTCCGGGGTACGGAGGAGGGAGGCATGTGGGACCCGGTACGGGGTTGAAGGATGCTCGATAAGATGGCGTGTTCAACCTGGCGTTACAAGCGGCTGAATATTGCATCACGTCGGGCCCGTGAGTGAATCGGGCCAATATAATTCGAAATTCTTGACGGCATGCCGACCGTTTCCCAATACCGATTTACGAACGAACTCCTTTCACGGTCTGAACTCATCGGTTCTCCTTCGGGATGCCTTGACCTCTGAGATAACCCATCGAAAACCATCTCGCAAAATCTACGCTATTCATATCAGCCGATAGAGCGCCCTGGGCTTACGTTTACTCGCGGGAAATTCAGTATTCGAGACTGCCGGTAAACGCTGGCAAATCCCATCGAGAGAAATATACGTAACGCTTCTGCACTTTCTACGTTTGAACTGTGTAAAAGCGAAGAGATTACTGATCTTCCTGGATAACGGATTTATCTCCCCGAAGATCTCGCTGGTTCTCTAGGATTTATTGAACTTACAACCAGCTTAATTCATAGAAAAGCTCCAAAAACATTATTTACGAAATATGGTTCCGATATCAATGTTGATGATTTTTTATTAGAGTCGAAAACTTTACTGATTACATTTATAACAGATCTGGAAGTAATTGAGTGGCTGTGTTGATTCGCTATTAAGTCACTGACCCAGATAGAAAGGCGTTCTCGTGTAAAATATTCCGACTGGAATAAAGACGTCTTGGCTTCCTGCAACGTAGTTGCGTCGTTAGGAAGGAGATAGGGTGTGGTAAGGGTGCAAAACGAGGTGTGAACGAGGGTGCAAGAACAATGCACCCCACGAAGTTTATAACGAGAGGGTAGAAGAAATGCAATTAAAGCAGTAGTCGTGGTGGAGTAAGGGGTGAGTACTGTGTTCGGTCTACGATATCCGAAGACGCGGTATGACTTATCGCGCGGTATTAAAAATTCACGGCTGCTAATGCATTTGATTCAATCACTATTTTTCGCAAAAACCAAGACAATTTTATAAGTGGAAATTACGACTTGAAACGTATTTGGGTTATTTGGACAATACTTTGTATGTATATGAACGCGGAGGGGAAAGCCGTTAGGGCTCCCGTGGGAATATTGTACCACCCAGGATATACTAGAGTAAGCCCTGCTACAGGCAATGCGAATCGTAAAATCAGTTCCTTGAATGCTGATACTCGGAAGGGTTGAATAATACATGGTGTATGATTCATGGGGTACGATTTTAAATGGTACCACTGTCTTTGTTTCAGGTCCGAAGTAACCTCATGACCACGTCTCCAAATACACAGTGTCGTTCGAAGTGAGTTTGTTTTTTAATAATGATAATAATAATATACGTAAAATAACAAATAGACCTTATTATTGCATGACAAGGTAAATAAGGCGTAATGGAAGAGTATCAATTCCCCAAGGCTATTATCTAGGGTGAGGTAACCTGGATTCAGACATACTGGCTACTAGAATATCAATATTTGCTTACGGAAAGTGTACCCACCCGATACGACGACTATAGGGTTCTGTAAACACAAACTATAGCCAGAAGTCTTGCTAATTGCCGTGCAGTAAATACAAATAAGCGCACGTTATAATTCGACCCGTGCAAAATAATAAACAACATCTATGTACGGACAACAATATGACTAGTGGATCACGAAGAAATCATTGAGTATCATCGATACACCAAAAATTGAGTATACGCAGGCTTTGGTATGAGATTGATGTAATTTTTATAATTGTGAATTTTATTAAAAAATGATAAAAATATTAGTGCGAGGAAGTTAAAGTAGATTACGGGCATAAGCATTCCCTCTGTCACCCCCAACTCCAGAAAATATCTAACTCAGAGACTTGTCGGGTTGGTTGGCGTGCTGATGCTCGCTGTATAAAGCGTCCAGCGCATTAGGTTTGTTCGAGGGAGGAAATGAGGACCAAGAGCGACATGGTGAGTTTGATATTGTCGTGAGCAGTAGCATCAGATTGGCTTAAAGAAGGTGACCCTCAAACCCCAGGAGTTCACCCTTCACCCTTTCACCCTTTGTCAGAGTTCGCGTAGGTAGTGGCTACCTATCTATGTATCTATATATATATATATATACACTCTACTTTCCTGTCTAGCGTTCTGCGTCATCCTCTTATCCTCGATCCGACTCTCTTCTAAGGGGTTGACCCCCAACAAGGCACGACGGCTCTTTAACAACCCTTCTCTCGGTTTTACCCTTCCGGGTGAGTTGTTGACCGCAATCCCACGTACAGACTGAGTGAATTCAACTTGGTCCTGGAAAGTCGGCGCTGCATTACGTTATATATTACGTTACGTCACACCTAGGTTGCCAACGTTATCCAAATTGGTACTGCTTTCCTTGCTGGTAGTTGGTGTGACTTCAACTATAAGAGAACTCTGAATAGCGTTGGTATCATGGCTCGAGAACAATGTTCCGTGATTATAGTTAAACTTTGCACAGTAAATTTGTAATGAATGAAGCGAATCGAATAAAATATATTTTTATTAGCCTCTCTGTATTACAGTGTCTTCGTTATAAGAAAAAAGGGTAAAATATTAGGTAGTTTTGTCCGAAGACATATTTTTCGAATTTATCGCGACTCATTAGAGGAAAAATAATAAAAATAAATTTGAAGGGTCTGAAGGGTTATCAATTTTTTAGCGCGATTACAGACACCAAAATCCAAGTATTAGAAACTTGTTTCAAACCCTTGCCCCTTTCGGAGATCTTGCTAAAGGAGGGTCGAAAAGTTTACGCCTCGTCATCCAAGAACAAAAGGGAACCGACCTACCCAGTCAGTTTCGGTATACCCGTGGAAATAAAGAAAAACTTAGAAGGGTGTTATTCGAGAGAGGGGTTGGAAAAGCTTCGTTTCCGAAAACTCAAGAGGTTCAAAGAAAGCCTCTAGGCTGCTAACCTTGTACGGTTTTATCAAAGGGGAACGAATATTTTTCTCCGGATTCAAATTTGGTCTTGCCCTTCAATAACAAGCCGAGTAACAACAGGGGTATGTCCTTTCTCTGAGGTCCAAAGGTCAGGTTGGGTTGGTAACAATGAAATTTTGTTTATCGAACCAACCACCCCTCAAACGTCTCGCAATATTAATACAGAGTACTGGTATGAATGGCGGGTTTATATAAGTCGCGTACTTTAAGGAGCTCATTTGCCAGAGGAAGCTACGAAGTAAGGAAACGGTGGTTTCGTAGAATAGAAACTGTGAAAGCTCGAGAAGTACAAGGGCGTGACACGACTCGGTCTAAGGGATGAAAAGGGGTCGGACTGACTCTACATTCCATATATACATTTGCGAGAAGTCTTACAGTCGCCATATTTCATAAGAGGAGAATCATGTTAAAATAGAACCTTAATACTTCACCGCCAACTTTCCCACTCTCTTACCACTTGATACACCTATTAATTTTATCACCCTCTATAGACCATGATATTAACCAGCTGAACGCTACACCGACATCGGCATTAAAGTACCTATGATTTTCATGCTGTACCTACATTAGTATATCATAAATGTACTTTCACTAAATGCGTTATGCACTTTTACATGCAGTCACTGCTATGTTTGACGAACCACACTGTTGTATTTTTGGCCCTTAATACAGGCATACGTGAGAGTGAATTTACGACTTGGGCTTTACGTGCCCTCAGCCCTATTCCATTCTGCTGTTTTACGACTGCGTGCAAGTTACTCTAGGTTCTACTACGTAATGTCTTCTTAATGAAGAACGAACGTGTGTCAGAAGCGTAACGCGTGTGACATATAGTACGATGAGTCTCCAGTGTGCACGTTTCCAGCGGGAGCATTGCCGCGGCAAGGTTGTTGCAACCTTTATTAATCTCGCGAGTGCAGTACCTACGGTTTACTAGCGATCCATTGTACGTATCGGTTAGTACGTAATCGTAAAATTAAATTTACGAATATAACCATTGCCTAGATTCATCTATCGAGTGCTATAACGGTTGGAAAATTACGGCCTTCTTGCATCGACGACGGATATCGACTAACCTACGCGTATCAATAAGAGCGATGTACGTAAAGTGGTAGGATGCATATATCTACCCTGTATACCGCTACCCGAAACCATTTTGGACTTCCGGCACTGTAGCTCCAACCGCATATTTACGAATCTGACAGAATTTCGACTGCGTGCCGCAATTTAATGTCTAGGAAATAGGACGTACGGCACGCCGCACCAGGATTCCTGTAATATCCAAGTGACGTAGAAGCCCGGATAAGTTGCTCAGCCCCCCTTTGGCGTGGGGTAGACGTGTAAAAAAAGCGAAAAGAATTGGAATGTATCCCTTGCGTGATTTTGTGTCTTAGAGTAGGGTTGGCAGTTGGCACTGAGATTCTGGCTATATGGAGAACGATCTGAGATTTTCTGGAGTCTGACGTATATAGGGGTAACCACGTGGATGGGTGTCGGCGGGGAGCAATCGGTGAGAGGGGATGGACGCTCGATGTCTCGTGTGGTTTATAACGTATGCGCATCGTGCCACCCTTATATCTTATGGGAACCCACACATATTGAGGTTTTGGGAGTCGGCAGGTCCTGCTGCCGCTTTAAAATGTGTCATGGCGTTTTCTACGTGATACGACTACGGGATGAGGCAGTTCTGTGTTTCGCCCTTGGGATGGTATTTTTGATCTTCAACTGGCAGGCCGCAAAGGGATTCTCGGGAAACTGACAGAGTATCGGAGGAAGTAGATTATTCTGTAATTCTAGATTGAATGATAACAATATCCATTTAAGGGTGTATCGAACTTTTACTTTCTCGATAATCGATTGTTCGATAAATGGATCGATAATAGCATTACATTATATCTATATCCTTATCGGACGTAGAAGTTTACTCTGGCTTGAAAATTCGATTAGGGATCCTTTTTTATTTTGCATAACGACATTCAACGAGAGATACAGCCACTTCGTATCCTATGATAAGGTCACGTCATTCGATGAGCCTTCTAAGAAGCTGTAGATAATACCTATATGTATCGCTATATGCGTATATAGTATATAGTACATAATATGCTATGTATATCTATCGAAGTCCCGAAGGACTTCAAGTATAAGAATACGTGAATCGAATGGATCTGAAGTTCGATTCCAGGCGTATTATAGATATAGCTATGAGAATTCCCAGTAACTAGAGGAATACCGATTTTAACACTGACGTATTTGAAAAGGATCAAACCCGAGCAACGCATCTTAATATCGTTAGACGCCACGAAACAGAAAGATTTCTTACGTATTTCTCATAAATTGTTTTTATGGACGACACGTGCTTCCGAAGAACGAAGCCTCGAGGGAAAAACTTCTTTTAATCCTTACGCCGAGCGAAGCCGGGCTCTTGGGAACTAGGTCGTAGAAATGGATGCCAAGTCGCGACGCTGGTTGGCACATAAATCCTTATTCGCATGAAACGTCTTCATTTCTGACCTCGGTTAACGTGGCTACCTGCTGTAACGTTATTATTACGGAAACTCGTAACCCAAACTAAAACGACTCCAGAATCCAGAGACGAATTACTTTGTAGTTACTGACTACACGTATAGTAACTTATATGCTGATACATATGCATATATAGAGAAACTGCAGATTCTCTAACGTCTTTAATGTATACCCTTTGAATAATGTATATGGTATATTGCACTATAATTTATTCGCAAATAAACAAAGGCATATATTATAATGCATCTATAGAATGTAATGCATATACATATTTATTACCTGTATTTATATATATTGGTAGTGAATTTTATTTTGTCACGAAGATTTCTTTTCACATTAGGAATCGATATAGTGTTATTGAGACGATCGTGCAACAGGAGCGAATTTGATTGGATTGGCCGATAGGGTGACATTCGAATACGAAGGGATGCAATAAGCCTGCTCTAAGTTAACGTGATTCTTAACCCAATCCGTGGGGTCACGTAGAATCTCTCAGGAGACTTCCTACTTGAATTAATTCAGATCCTTGTCCCTAGTCCTACTGCCAGGAACGAGAGGCATTTCATCGTCTCCCGTTTCATTATGTCTCCGCAAACTTTTAACATAATAACTTGCCAGGCCAATCCAAACTCTCCGTGGATGGCGATCGTATAAAGTTGAAAGTTCACCGAGAGGTGCGACTAGATACGCCAGACAATCTGAATAGCATATCTGCTTTGCTTCGCAGCAAGCACCTTTATACGTGTATATAAAGTATCTTCAAACTCTTAAGCTTTCTCGTGTCATAAATGTTTAGTTATTCTTATGGATGATCCACACGATGCTGGAACTTCTCTTTATTTGATTTTAGTCATCCTTCATTTTTAAGGCTGACAGTTTGCTAGGTGGCGACACCTGTCTGTCTCTTAAGTTGAGTTTATATCATACGTGGTACGTTGGCGATAGGGCGAAAACGTGCTGTTTCGGCGTTATTCTTTACATGTATAAAATCTCGTCCTTTGCTGTCCCACAGGTATACAGAGATTTTGCACTGTTGTTTCGCCTCTGCTTCTACTATTATTTCTTCCGGTTTTCCAGCGCTTCGTTAGAATCACTTTGCGAGGTTGCATGAAATAACACGAGCCTTCTTTATTCACGTAATTAGCTAGAAATTGTCTCCTAACAGAAGAACAATCCCAGAAGTCCATTTTGGATTTTGCCAGGGTCTAACGTATCAATTGATTCTTTTATATTTATTTCAGTAGAAATTGTACTATTGGAAGTTTCAAGTGATAATGGAACTGATAATTCTTCTAAAAATAAATGCAAAAAGGTGATTTTAGGCAAAGAGGGTGGAATCGAGTTAATTATTGTACTTTTACCGGTAATTACCAATGTCAATGTAATGCATCATTGTCGAGTGTTTATGAATTGATTACAAAAAAGGTATAAGATTACTTTTGTTATTTGAATTTTGTTTGCCGGGGTGAGAAATTTCGTGAGGTCCTTTCCGCGTTTGAATATATATTTATTATGTGGGTCAAGCGGATTGCAGGTATAAAGGCAATTTTTATCAATGTTGGACGTTATCAATCTCTCGCACAACCGTACCAAAGAGGATTTCCCAAGGGTGTTCGCCTAAAACCTCCCTTAGCTACCCGAATCCACCATTTTTCCTTGACTATTCTTACTTCATCCGTACGGGGCTTCCGTTACTTCGCCCTCAGTCTATCTTTCCCATCTCAGGTCCGAGCACGTTCCACCATCCAGAAACATAAATCTCCCATTTGCCGGCATTTCTTCTGGCACGTGTCTTTATCTCGCTGGTCCAGCAATTAAGGAAAATGAGCGCTCTATCCACTCCTCTCATAAATCGAATCGCCATTGAATAGAACCGTAGACACATCCTCGTTTCCCAATATCAATAAAGCACCCGAATAGAAACAAACAATGATGATAAATTTGACGACAAATACCATCGACTTGGTATTTACCAGAGTCCCCCCCCCCTCCTTCCCAGAACATTCTTCGATCCCCCAATACCATTGGGAAATGCTAATCAGAGCCCTTGATCAATATGCCAAAAGCAAGTTCGATCAGCTGGTTCGAGAAATGAACTCCATCCTGAGCAGAGCATTCTGTTTTCGAAAGAGTCCATTCAGCTGGGTGAAATTCAGCCAAAGTTATATTTGACGTAGGTATATAGTATACATATATATATCAACCAACTATGGAACCTCGTGAAGTTCCATAGAAACGAATGGGACTTTCCATCCTTAAAGTTAGAGTTAGGAAAAAAAAACAGGTCTGAGAAAAGTCAGGGTCATGACACAAGAACGAAAACTCAAGAAATTTTATCTCACGCTGATAAATGATAATGCCAGTCTAACTGATGTCAGTCAAACGTGCACTAGACATCTCACTAGGTACGTACCGCATTGGTACGGTCAGTAAACGGAAGGATAGAAAGAGTATTTTAAAAGTCAAGATGACAAACGGAATTCATTAGGAGCTTTTTAGGGATGGTAGGGTTCGTCTTATCTGTTGGAATTGCTTGCCGGGGAGCACGGGAAGAGGTAGGGGTATGTACCCGATCCTGCAATCTGACAATATGGATGGGAAGCAATGATTGATTTAGATAGGGGAGATCTGGCATTCGGCCAGAGCTTTACTTGGCCGTAGCTTATATATATAATATAGGTATACCGAGTCCAATCATCCTTTCTCGCCAAACAGAACGAAATAGAGCTTTAGGAATGAAGAGCCCATATTTTATTCTTCAGGGGGCTCACCGGTCCACGGAATATAATCTGAAACTGAATGGCCCAACGCACAAGCTTTATCGAAATCAATAGGCTCATTTATAATGAATATCCGCTACGAATGCTTTCATGATATCATACATATTATAAAAATGCTTTCAATGATATCACGTCACCCTTTCTGATTGATTTGATGGAATTTATATCTAGATCATAATGTCGCTCGTATGGTAAAAACGACTTGGAGAAAACACCTGTCCAGTTTTCGTTGCCGAGGAAGTTTTTAGAGAAAGCCTTTACTAGGTGGAATTTTATCCGGATCAAATTTTACTGTGAGTGAATACATTGGTCACGTTTTACCTCGTCCCTTACACCACGTGTTCGTTGACGATTTTGTGTTCTTCTATGGCTGTTATAGACCCTATGAGTCCTTTATGTAACTTGAGCCAAACTTCCAAAATTTGTATAAAGTCTCTTGATATTTCTTAGAGTCATGTAAGGATGTTCCACGTAAATTGAACCATGTCACAGAGATGCGTATGTGGTTACAGGCGTCGCAGGGACATGATGTTACGCGTGCTGGGAGTTCGACTACTGTCGAGGCTGCTGGTCCTCGTCTGTTCCCTTTCGCTGCTGTCACTCCTCTTCTTGAGCCGCTGCGGCTTCAATAATCTCGACACGGACCTCATCGACACTGCCGGTAAGTGCAATTTGAATTACCGATAATTAAATAGGACCTGGTACTTGCTACCAGTAAGTAGTCAGTGCTCAGGTGCATGAAAACAGTGCATTAAAAGTGGGCAAAAACGGCACCTTAGCAAAATTGGTATGGCAATAATTATTCCTGATACACGAATCCATAGTTTATGTAGGAATCTGGTTATTCCAGAAAACCGTATGCAAATTCGTTAGCGGTATTCACGCAAGAAATAAGGTAAGCTTTCCTGAATTTTCGTGCAATTAAAAGGGCAAAAATTTGTATCAATGAATATCAAAGTGGACATCTTTATGTATAAAGGTTTTACTGGAGTCTGTTTGGCTTTAGAAGGATTGGTTAAGGAATGTGTCTAACTGTGTATATATATAGAATTATCGTAGAGGACCACCAGCAACCTGAACCCGAGCTTTTCCAGAGCGTCTGCATTTTACGCGCAGCGAACCGCATCATAAATTGCGACGCCGGCGTCGCGACGACATACCTGACGTAAACAGTGACGCTAAGTAGCCCGGCAACGAGGTTATACGATCGCCGTAATTGCCAACATGATAATTCTACCCTTATTGCTCAGCACGGCTGCTATTTTCTTTCGCTCTTTGCAATAGTTACACTAACAATTTCACGTGTTCTCACGCCAAAGAATACACAGGTCAATGTGAATTATTCGATGATTCGTAAAATTGTTCAAGTATTCGAAAAGCAGCGTCCTTTGTCTTATTGTAAATCCAATAGAATGTTTTGCTTCGGCACCGACAGTGAACGTCCTCTTTTCTTATTGGACAAATACGATAGTTTATATAACAGCGTCCTTGCGAAGCGCGAAGATCCAAGAATTCTACACGTTCACAGAGTCACGCGAGCTGGTGTTTTAAGCGCAATTAAACCCGGCCATTATTTCGACGAGAACGTCTCTAGAGACATACCTAGCGAGTGGAATAGCGATTTAAGCATATTTTTTTTGCTTTTCGTTAATTTAACGCCCCAATTTACGTCGCGACCCGAATGCAATAAGGATTTCCCTCGCCATGGTAAAACCATCCAATTTTGTTTTGTTGCTCCTGTTACCACGCTAACGGAATGCGCAGGGTCCGATATTAAGGGTAGGTACCCCAGGGTTGTCGGCCGGAGGCGGAAGGGCAATTATGCTGCCATTTAATTGGTACTTTACTGGAGTTCAAGTGGATATCATCCACTATCTTTATGTGACGTAATTCTATTAACCCCCGAGTGTAAAAGGCGAAAGAGCAACGGCGAAACTTGAGAAATCCAATGTCCAACTTCTTGCAGCGGTGCAAGGTTACCACTTTCCATCAACAAGTTCTTGTGAACCGTTTAGGCAGTTCACTCGTACCAACGTGGTAGCGTCACCTAAAATGACGGTTCCACTTATGTTATATGGCTCTTCCGCACGATTCGCTATATGGCAAAACGCTTTCAGAATTTCCCCAGAAATCCAAACCGGCAAGGGCATAAACGGCCATTGCGATTACCGCCGCTTGGACTGGCGGTAATAACGATTTCCGGTATCGTGCACTTTACGGTCGGACGCTGCTGACATGAACCGTAGAAAAAGAAAAACTCGAAAGCAGATTTCAAGCAATTTTACTACAGCGAGGAACGAAGCAAAGTGGAGCCTCTTTACGAGTAGCGCCAATATTTACTCCTGTTTGAAATTTTACGTAGTCCTTTTTTTTTATCCGAAAAATCAGGGTAGAATTATGCAACAGCTCGTCCAAACTATCCCCCATTTCGATATACCTATTTCGATCGTTCAGACTCCACTTGCTGTTCTGTAAACCCTTTGTGCGTAGCTATACATTGAGAATCCGCAAATCCGGAGGGTGCTCGATACGAACGGAGAACACACTGGTGAAATCACGCAATTGCATTATACATGTTTGATAGGGTCCATGGAGCAATCGGGTCAAGCTCCGTACGCATGCGTTCACTTTGAAAACATGGAAAATTAATAGTCCTGCGTCATATTATATAAAATTTATGCTGCTCGATCAACAGATTGGAATCGGCTTTACGTGTACAATACTTCTGAATTGTACAGCAGCGCCTACACGATTCATTACGTTATTCCGGAATGCATTGTTACGAATCTGAGTCCTGTGCGGACATTCGGTACAATGCACGCAGAATTATGGATTCGATGCATTTCGAAGTGGCCACGCTCTGACAGAATCCTCTTATCGATAACCGCATATCGATTCTAGGTAGATCGAACGCGAAATTTACAACAGTTTAAAGATCTATATTCTGTATGTCTATACATATATTCCGATATATTGATCCAACTTATCAGTCCTCTTCATTCTTACCAATAAATCTGTATACCATCCTCCATTTCATATTTCACATCACACAACGGGCACGGGGAATAGGCGTTGTCTCAATCCGATAAGAACGACGTGAAACATTGAACTTGCAGTATTGTGGACGAAGAGAGTCGAGCGCTCGAGATAGATTCGTTTAAGGAGATGCTTGATTGGGGAAAGTAATTAAGACGGCTTTGGTAACGAAGACGAAACGAGGATGGAAATGATTCTCTAGGTAGATATTAGAATCGGGATTCAGATGTGAATTCATGCAATTCATATTGATCAGGGCAGGATATTGAGGATTGCTCGAGATTTGAGCTAACAGAATTCATATTTAAATAATATTCATAAGATTCAAAAGCGAGGAACCAATTTTCCTCGAGTCTCTTGTTTGATGATAGTTCGACAGTCCATGACGTCACTTTGTCATTTAAGATCGAGTCTGGTTACACGAGCACGCGTGTGTACTCTACCTCCAGTGTTCTATTTTCCTATCGTCGGAAGGTCGACTCACTAATTTCCTGGATGGCAGAGTTGAACTTTAGGTAAAATAACTACTCCCCGAACCGGCACCAGCATTGCGGCACCAGACAAGACAAATGGCTGAGGATTAGGAGCATATTATTTAACCCAGGTTTAATTAATGTGCCACGCTGCGTTCTCCGTGCGCTTTACACAATGCCGCCCAACTGGGTGTTTTCGTGTTCATTTTAATTTTGTAATTTTATTTACCAAATCGCCTGTCGCGAACGCAGTCAGCCTGCTCTCATACCCGCCATTGTTGTTACGACACGGAATAAACATCGAATTTACGAGTGTTATTATTGTCACTGAAAACTTTTCATCCCTCCGTTATCCCAGTCCTCCCTTTTTTATTCCCCGTTATTTCATCCGTGAACGCTTTTTTTTTCAGATCTCCGAATATTCCTTTAACACGATTATACGAGTACGGTACACGATACCCCACAGTCTTTGCATCGTTTATATGAAACTTTTCTTAATCTCCTAACGATTAATCATATTTATCGAAAATATTATAGGCTGAATGTCGGGTATGTTTTATTTTATCAGTTGACGTTATATTCAATAATTGATAACGATCATAGTGTATTTAATATCATTTATCGAGCTGTCACGTATAGGCTGTGTATGGATTTAACATAGGTTGATTTATTTACACGCGCCATAAGGTCAATTATCATTTAATAGTCTTGATTAATCAGATTATTGGCACGGCTTTGAAACAGGGGGCAAAGGTCAAAGTGAATTTAATTCTCGATTACAATAGTTAAATGAAAGATCAAGTGGCTCCAGTGCTCCAGTAAGAAAGTATTGAATCTAATACGACAAGCATCATTTCACTGAAGTGACTATCTCTCATTTTTATCTCTATGTATAATCTCCATGTAGAAAAGCTCAGCTCGTCTGAAGATCCACTTTAACGAATTATCATAGTCTCTGTAGTTTCACGATTAAATCTTCAAGTGGTATACTAGGACGTTCGTTTGGAGTACTCTGAAAATGAATTTCTAGGTAATTATTCCATTCGATATTTTTCATCGGACTTTTTCACAGCGCGTTTCAAGTTTCAACAGCCGCGTACAACAGGGATAGATTTTCCAGGGATAAAATCCTCGATGGAACGGGGGTTGGCTACTGTTGGAAAGGATGCTGGACAAATTACATCTGACGCGGAATTAACGTGGCTTATGAGCATCCGCTCCAGCATCAAACTAATTAGAAGCGATACTAATAAAGTCCCTTCAGACTCACATATGTTGCTCATGTACATACCTTACGATAAACTCGAATGTGAATAATTTCACGGAATGCATTGCGTATGTAGATATATGCTCATATTAGCCTCTTTAAGTACATCTGCTGGTAGAAGTTGGTTAATGGATAGCTCACTGTATCCGCAGAGCTATCTTGCGACAATTTCAGTATTCTATAATTATCCATAATTTGACTTTAGATATAGAGGATTACATAGGTTAAAATTATAATAATACTTTTTAGTCTCTTTTCTCTTTGATATAAATTTTCACGCCCTTCAGAAATTCAGAATTGCAAACCATTTCGTCCTATTTCGCGTTCTGAATAATTTAATATCCATGAAAAACGATGGTGGTACTTACCCACGATAGGGGCGTTAGACAAACAAAATAGCTTCCATCAAATTGTCACAACGAGACACGAAAGCAGGCGGTTTATCCTGCTGCAGTGAAAGGTTCCATCGTGTTATTTTTTTGTCCATCTCATTTTTTATATTGCTCCCTTTTTTGTTGCCTAAGTTCTGCCGACGTTGTTGACGGTGCATAGATATGAGACTACCCCCTCTCTCTCCTTTGACCTTTTCTCTCTCCTCTCGTCACCTCACACTTCAGCCGTAGCTGCTTAAGATTCATGGCTTGTACCTACGCGATGACATATATATTTCTTCGTGTTGATATTACAGGCAGCCTGGAGCCCGTGTTAAAATCTGAAGAAAAAAAATCACACGGTAGACTTTCACTTCCGATTTTAAAAAACTAATTTTCGCGACTTCGAATCTTCCAGGATATTGACTATGAAACGAAGTAACTGGAGGGCGGAGGCTGCGAGCTTTTTGCGAAGGGAAGACAAAAAGATCATCCCTCTCGTGGAAAACTCTTT